AGCTTAAAAAGGGCTAAAAATGGTGCTTGAAAAACGCTCTTGCATCGAAACAACAATGATGTTTCTTGATTCTCATTTCTCTAATTCCCCAAAAATAATCTAAGGAAAAGGCAAAAAAAAAAAAGCTGAACATCCTCTGTTTCTGTCTTCTTCAACAATTTATCAAAGCCTTGTGTTCATATTCTATATCTCAGACATGACGATTCCTGCGGCATTTGTCTTTGTCCCTGTTGGTGTCCTCTTCTTGGTCTCAGGCCTCATTGTCAATCTCATTCAGGTCAATACATTCTTGCTTTATCGAAAACTCAGATTTTTGATCTTGATACAATGGATGATCAAACATTTTATCTTCTTTAGATTTCTGTTACAAGTTGAAATTTTTAACATTTTCTATGTGTTTCCAGCTTGTGTTCTTCATCATTGTTCGTCCATTCTCAAGAAATTTATATAGAAGAATCAATAAAACCGTTGCGGAGTTACTTTGGTTGCAGCTTATATGGTTGATTGATTGGTGGTCTTGTATAAAGGTTTGTGTTTTCATGAAAATCTTGTTTGGGGTACACAGAAGTTTCGAAAAACCGATATGTGATCAAGTGTTGTTATTGTTGTTGCTGCAGATCAATTTATACGCAGATGAAGAAACTCTAGAGTCAATTGGTAAAAGATGAATTGTGAGCTTATATTGTGACTTAAGTCTATAAGTATTTGAATCTAATGATTCTTGATATAACTTTTCAGGTAAAGAACATGCACTTGTTTTATGTAATCATCGAAGTGACATTGATTGGCTTATTGGATGGGTCATGGCTCAGGTGTTTCTATCTTTGTCTGAAACAAAGTTTTGTTGATTCTTTACAAAATTTTGGAGAAATCTCTGTCTCTGATTGATGATTATTGTTCGTATAACAGCGTGCGGGTTGTCTTGGAAGCTCTTTAGCCATCATGAAGAAAGAAGCAAAGTATCTTCCAGTGAGTTTTCCTTTTTCGATCTTTTGTTGAATCAATTCGTTCTTTGGTCATATTTTACTGAAACACTACAAGTCTTTCACAGATCATAGGTTGGTCGATGTGGTTTTCGGATTACATTTTCTTGGAAAGAAATTGGGCTCAAGATGAGAATACCCTCAAGGTTAGTTTTGCTTTGTTTCTCTCTTGACCTTAAATTTGATGTGCTCTTGAAACATCTTTTTTATTAATTTGTTTCTTATTTCAGGCAGGTTTTAAAAGACTTGAAGACTTTCCTATGACATTTTGGTTGGCTCTTTTCGTTGAAGGAACTCGTTTCACTCAGGAAAAGCTTGAAGCTGCTCAAGATTATGCTTCTTCAAGAGGCTTACCGTCTCCTCGAAATGTCTTGATTCCTCGAACAAAGGTGAGTTTCACCAAAAGACTTGTTCAGGTTGTTATGAGCTTTACTTCATTTGGATTTACGTGGTTTGCAAAATCAGGGATTTGTTTTCGCGGTGACTCAAATACGGTCCTTTGTTCCTGCGATTTATGATTGTACCTTAAGTGTTCATAAGAATCAACCTACACCAACTCTGCTTAGGATGTTTAGCGGACAATCATCAGAGGTATAAAAGATTTCTCGAATGTGTTTTTGTAATTCACATAAAAGCTTTTATGTCGACTATATCATACACTCTTTGTTTCTTCTTTTCTTGAAGGTGAATTTGCAGATGAGACGTCATAAGATGAGTGAATTACCAGAAACCGATGATGGCATTGCACAATGGTGCCAAGATCTGTTCATCACCAAGGTTCACAAACTAAATTCTGCTTATCAAACTTTCCGATTTCCGCTAAAAATGTCTTACTTAGTGTTTACTTCGCTAAACCAGGATGCTCAACTTGAGAAATACTTCACAAAAGATGTCTTTAGCGACTTAGATGTTCACAAAATCAACCGGCCAATCAAACCATTGATCGTAAGAACACATCACAACATCAAATTCAAAAATGTTAATATGATTCTATCTATGTAACATGTTAATGTTGTTGTTGCGGTCTGAAAAAACAGGTGGTCATAATTTGGTTTTGTCTCCTCATATGTGGTGGTTTCAAGGTGTTTCAATGGTTATCTATGGTCGCCTCGTGGAAGATCATATGTTTGTTTATCATCGTCTTGGTGATTGCAACTACAACAATGCAAATACTAATTCAATCGTCTGAGTCACATCGATCAACTCCTGCTAAAAGACCTATACAAGAACAACTCATTTCTGCGTAAGACAAGAGAAACCTTTGGTTTAGCCAGAGACTTCACAAACCCTTTGTTCCTTTACTTTGGATCAAGTGATTAACCTTAATGAGGTAGATGGTTACAAACTGTGTTTGTTAGTGTATAACAATTAAAATTGTATGATCATTCAGTCTTTATCTATTCAACAACCCAATTTTATTATGAAATG